CCAACTATGCTTGTTCGTGGGTTTCGCTCGTATATCGGCGGAGAGCCTCCTGACTTTTGCGATTCAGCGAACAATGGCAATCTTACCTATAGTGGCCCTCCGCGTGGTCTTCTCACACCTCCTACCTGGGGCTACATGGTGGCGTCAGTATTTATCAGGCGCTGCGGCGCCGACCTCATTCCCAGATGCTCACGATTCTACTTCGGACTTGCTCAAGTCGCATGCCACGGTCGGGGAGTCGTGGGCCTGGCTTGCGGCGGTCGGTCAGGCCCTGCTTGTGGGACTATGCGCATATCTTGGCCACTAAGTAGAGGAAGAAGAAAGGTTCAGATCCCAGCTGCATCAGTGACGGCTTACAAGATTCCATTGTGAACCTGAGAAGCTTGCTGCAGAGTTCTGTTCTGTATTCTACTCTCCCACCCCTGCTCGTTTGGACGGGTTGTGTGTGTGTGTGCGTGTGCTTCTTGACTTTCAGCTTCCAAGACTGTCCTCAGCTATTTGAGGCCTAAGAAGTCACATGCCACACATGCCTTGTCCAGACGCCCTAGGTTTATTTACGTATGTGAGAAAGAACCTTAAGTTTCTCTGTTTCGGGAACCTCCTGCATAGAGCAGGAGACCTAGGTTTGCGTATGGGAAATCCACGCCCCAGGACCCCAAGGGCTCCGAGGCCTCGCCCACTTTAGTGTTACATGATGTTCAGACATCAAAGGCTCGCCAGCGCAGCCTCGTTTCTTCCTCCTCCTCGCCTGTCCTCTTGGCTGCTTTCTTCCTCTTGTCTCTGCCGTCTCGTGCCCCGCTTGCTCCCTCTCCTCCTGGCCCGCCTCGGCCTGGGACACTTTGCCAGACAGCCAGCCTTTCACACCCTGTTTGCCTCGCCGCGCTGACCGCAGCCAATGTGTGTCAAGCCTCTCCGTCAGGGGTTTAGAGGCCAGCTCAAACCTCGCAGAGCGAGGTGCATACACGTGTAGGTCTCTGACGGACTGTGCAAATTGCGGGTGCTCGGAAAAGCTGGACCTGTCCCTGGTGAAACCCCTCACGAGGCCCACAGACTCAACATTCGTTCGCTTACGTACTCATCACAAGTGTGTGTGTGTGGCTCGACCGGTATCTCTCCCCGACCGTTGACCCGTTGGACTGCGGGGGCATCTTCGAGGCGCTGCTCTGCTTCCCCGTTGGGGACCACCTGCAGGTAACGCGCCTGGCGCCAATCCCTCGGGCACTACAGCGGCTGGACCTGAGGCCTGACGGCGCGAAAACGTCGAAACATCGCAAAAATCACGACCAGAGCCCTAGGCCACATCTTTCTGCGTCATGTTTCGAGCCGCGTCGATCGTTCAGGGTCCTTGGGCCCAGAACGGAGCGAAAACGCCCGTTGTGGAATATTTGCAGCGCCAGGATCTCCGGGCGGGCCCTCGCGTACCACGGCGGACCGCAGGCGCTCGCACGCGCCGTCCCAGCTGGCAGCGTCCACGCCCCCACTGGAAGATGCGATCCGCGCGCGTGCTTCGTCGACATGGGGTGCTCACAGCCCGCCACGGTGGCTGCAGACGACCCCCTCGTCGACCCTTAGGTCGGGCCTGTCCCTCCACAGGAGGAATATGCAAGAATAACAAGAAAATAAGCTCGGGACGATTTTTTGACAGGCTTTGGCTATTTTTGCGTGTTTTTTTTTTGTTTATTTTTGAGCTTTCGTCCGAATCCCCCTGTAGGAGGACATGCCCGACCCAAGTCTGCCCGTGGATGTTCTCCGACCAGTTCGGCGTCCCCCACTCCATTCTCCCCCCAACGGGGGCCGGCAGCCCGCCCACCTCCTAGGTCCCGCTTGGCCTCTGCCCCCTCCGGCCCTGTCGTGCCTCCCGCACCTCCTGAGCGGCGGGCCCTCCGCGACCCCTCCCGACTGGGACTCGCCGCCGCGCCCCTGCTGCCGCTGCGGTCCCGGGCCGCCTCGCCTCTCTCTCCGCCTCCCGGCCGCCTCCGCGCCCACATTCCCGCTCACTGCTGGGCCCCCCTCTCCGGGGGGCCGGCCTCAGGCCGCTCCGCTCCGTCAGGGACCGCCCCCCAGAGATCCGACGTCGTGATTTTTCCAACGCGCGGTCCCCGGAGGTCTCGACCCATTCCCCAGGACCGGTTTTTCATCCTGAATCGTTTTTTGGCGGTCCTGGGGGCCGGAAGGGCCCCCGGAGGCCGAAAGTAGCGAAAAACTTCCCGTCGTGTTTTTTTTCACAGCGCGAGGGGTTCTGGGTTGGCCGCCCCTTCAGGGGCCGCCCGCTCGGCCGCTGGCGTTGCCAGCGCGCCGCCCGGCTCCGCCGGTTTCGCGGCTCCTTCCGCCTG